GAACTCTCGTGATTCTGCATTGACTTTCGAAGGCGACGATGTCATCATTAGACCGGTGTCTCGCGTATCACCTATGCCTACCCCCATTGTCCGAACATCGACCGTGGAGACTCTCCTTCCACCTAGCCCTACAACTCTCAAAGCGAAGCCTCTTCGCCGGGGGTCATCATTTGTATTGCTAACAGCTCGCCCTTCGGAATACAGTCCATCTTCCGCTAGACTTAGCCTAGTCATGTCACCAAAGAAAAGAATCGCTACACAGAAAGTTAGTAATGCAATAGTTGAAGGCATGCTGGAACTCGTTGTCAGTGTCTTCATTGACCAAGTCATGGCCCGTAAAGAGTTTCCTGGATTTGGACTGTTTCTCAAAGTTCCTCCTGGCTTTCAAGAACACCAGGCGTACTTCGAGTCATACGTCCTACGCAACATGATTTCCCAGCTTGGTACTAATATCCAGTTGGACCAAAAGTCGATGTGGGAACCAAGAGTCATCCAGAATATGGCTCGTTTTGTCCTCCATATAGGTGAAGCTGTATTTGAAGGCTGGTTTCTGGGCGGGGCCGAAACATTATTGGACTTTGCAGGGACAATATTGGAATACTTGGAGAGACCTGAAGTCTCTAAAATCAAAAGCGTCCGACTATGCAGTCAAGCAATTGCTTCGATCAAAAGCGTTTTCCTTCGAGTCGTCTTACTTCGTCTGTCCGAGCTTGATGTGCCAGAGGCTCCTGAGTCCGAAGCATTAGCCTTCATGGACAAGCTGCTGTATTGGCAAACCGTGGTCTTGTCCGCCGATGTAACTGAAGATAACTTCCTGAAGCTTATTTGTTACCAGCTATATGTGAAGTTAGTCGATGAAAAAGAGAGCATTCGCTTGGCCGCCGCAAACATTTGGCGTATATTACTTGTTCAGAAGCCCGAAGAAACGTCTAATATGCTTCGTCATGCTATGCCTGGCCAGTACAAATATCTAGACTCTGGTTTCAAGAAGCTTACCGAGTTAGATAATGAGACTTTTGCGGAATGGGTTGATAGCTACAGAGCTGAGCTTGATGCTTTGTTCTTCGGTGCAATGTCTCGTGCCTGGGAAGATTTTGTCAATGCTGAAAATGAGAAAACCGAAGATACTCTCAAAAGCCGCGTTACTAAGCGACGTGAAAAACTTAAGCAATGGCATGCAGATGATCTTAATGATGAAGACATATTGTTTCGTCATGATCTCGCATCAAACCTATGGATGAAGAACATCTATGCATCCGAACATCTTAAGCACCAAAGAGCACAACAAGATCAACAAGATAATTTCAGTTTTCTCGTTTCTACATTTTCGAGGATGGATCGAGAGCTTCATAGGCCTTGTGCAGTTTTTGATCGTGGTGTTCCCTCAAAGTGGAAGTTAGACCGGACTGAGGGTCGTAACCGTATGCGTCTTCGTATGGTACCCGATCGTGCTGCTCCGACTTATGATTACAAACCCAAAAGACGTCCCACGGAGACAAATACAAACGATGTTTTGCAGGTAAACACGAAAGCTGGCGGCCTCGCCCCGGCTCAGCACCTTGATTCAACACCCAACTCTGCAGTATCACCACCTGGGGACCTCGATGGTCAAAATGGATCCGAGGTGAAGACTGAGAATCCATCAGAGGAAGCATCAAGTGAAATCGCTGACAATGTTGTTCAAGAAGAAGACTTTGAACTTGTTGATGATCCTAATGACCCTGGCGATGGCGATGATGGATTTGAGGACAAAAATCGAAAGGTCATGCGCAGCCTTCAAAGAGGAGATTCGGTGCAACACGTTTTTAATATTTCTCGAATCATTGGACTCGAGGCAGTTGAGGGTTTATTGATTCTAGGCAAAGATTCCCTCTACTTGATTGATAATGTCTTCCAAAGATCTGACGGAGAAATCGTGAACGTTGCGATGGCTCCTAAAGAGGAACGAGATCCTTATTTACAGATGATTGCTGGTCACAAAGCAAGTGAGAAAACAGCGCAAGCTCTCAGAACTGAGCAAGAATCGAGAAGTTGGAAGTGGAGCGATGTTATCAGTATTTCTAAACGTCGTTTTCTGTTTCGAGATGTTGCTGTAGAAGTCTTCTTCACAGATGGTCGTAGTTATCTACTTACAGCCATTTCGGCCACGCTTAGAGATGATCTCTTTGCCAAGCTTTCTTCAAAGGCTCCACATACCAATGGTAATTCCGTTTTACCAAATCCAGAAGATGGTTGGCGTCTTGAGGCTCTCAAGGTATCGGATGACGCACCTGCTACTTTTGGTTCCAAATTTGGTAACATCTTCAATTCTTCTGCTTGGAACCCAGCGATGCGACGATGGGCAAAAGGAGAAATCTCGAATTTTCACTATCTAATGCTCGTCAATACAATGGCTGGTCGTACTTTCAACGATCTTACACAATATCCTGTCTTCCCTTGGGTTCTGGCCGATTATACAAGTGAAGAGCTAGATCTCAACAATCCTGCTTCATTCCGAGACCTTTCGAAACCAATGGGTGCGCAGCACAACTCACGTCAAGCGGACTTTATTGAGAGATATAAAACATTTGCGGAAATGGACAACACTACACCTGCCTTTCATTATGGAACCCATTACTCGTCAGCCATGATCGTTACATCATATTTGATCAGACTTCAACCTTTCGTCCAATCATACCTGCTACTTCAGGGTGGTAATTTCGATCATCCTGACCGATTATTCTATTCGGTCGCCAAAGCTTGGGACTCTGCATCTAGGAATAATATGTCTGATGTGAGGGAGCTCATACCAGAATTCTTTTACCTTCCAGAGTTCCTTACGAATAATAATGGATACAATTTCGGCTTACGACAAGGGGACGGTGGAGGCATAGATACTGTTGCCCTTCCGCCATGGGCCAAAGGCGATCCAAAAATATTCATTGCCAAACATCGCGAGGCTTTAGAAAGCCCGTACGTGAGTAAGTATTTACACCAGTGGATTGATCTTATTTTTGGTTGCAAGCAACGCGGAGAAGCTGCTGTTGAAAGTGTGAACGTATTCCACCATCTTTCATATCATGGTGCAAAGAACCTTGATACCATCGAAGATCCCGTCGAAAGACTAGCTACGATTGGAATTATTCATAATTTTGGCCAAACCCCTCATCAGGTCTTTACGAAACCTCATCAATCTCGAGAAGACATGCGTCAAAAACCAAGGAGACTTGACACTTCAGCTGAGTCTCTGACACGTCTACCATTTCCCTTGATCGAAAGTCACGAACGTGTCGCATCACTCATTTACTCGGCAAAGTTAGATCGACTTCTCTGCTCTACAGCATTCCGCCTCAATCTTCCTCCAACGTATGATAAATACCTAGAATGGGGTTTCGCCGATAACAGCGTCCGATTCTACTTCAACGACTCCAAAAAGCTCGCTGGTCTCTTTGAGAACCTTCATCAAGGTCAACTATCTACCGTCATTTTTGCCTCCTCACAAACTCTCATCACAGCCGGTGAAGATTGTGTAATTTCCGCACATACAATCATGACTTCCCCATCTAAACATGTTGATCTACAACCACGCTCATCTCTCTTCGGACACAAAACACCAGTCACTACTCTTGCAGTCAGTAAATCCTTCAGTACAATGCTTAGCGCATCATCCGATGGCCTCGTTCTTCTCTGGGATCTAAACCGCTTAGAATTCGTCCGCAAACTCACTCATGGTCGGCCTGTAGAATGCGCGCGTATTAACGATGTAAGTGGGGACATTATGTTATGTCGCGGCCAAAAGGTTGCTCTTTATACCTTAAACGGCGAAGTACTTCTCGAGCAAAATGTATGCGCAGACCTAGGACATGATGATTACATACATAGTTGTGCATTCTACGAAGGTACTGGAAATGAGTGGCTGGAGAGTACATTAATATTCACGGGTCATAAGAGGGGAATAGTATGTATATGGCGGAAAGTTGTAGGTAAACATAGTGGGAAATGGGAGTTGGAGTTGGTGAAGAGGTTGGATCATGTGGATGAAGTAAGGAGGGATGCTAGTGTCAATAGATCTACAGGCGCGCATGGGAGGGTAACGACGGTGAATGGAAATGTGGAAGCGGGCATTAGTTGTGTGGTGCCGATGGAGAAGGGGGTTTATACTGGAGATGAAGAGGGGAGAGTGGTGAGTTTTTTTTCGTCTTTGCTCTTTGTCTAATTGTGGATTGAAACTAATCATGATATTAATAGTATGAATGGACATTAGTCCAACGCGAACGATAAGATAACCTTAGCAATGTAAAGCAAGGCAAATCACACAGCGAGGTATAGAATTGATTATATATCATGATAATCCCATACATAGAGCAGCGTGGTGTGGTATGGTATGGTCTCCAAATTTCCAATACCTAGAATAAAAGAATAAAAGACGTGATGATGAACGGGAGGCGTAAGACGTAAGGCGTATTTTTTTTCCATCGTCAGTGCTTTTTTTGTCCTGGGTTTTTGTATTCGCAAAATGGAAATACATGAATTAGTACACTCGCTGATTTTTCTTCTGGGTTGTAGTGGAGCGTTTGTTAGCATTGTATTGTGGATTTGCTTGTAGGTTTTTGGGATCGTGGTTGATTGGAGGTTTGGTGAGAGTTGAGTTAGTGGCATGTGTGGATGGATGGATGGATGAAGGGATGGATGAAGGGATGGAATGGAATGGAATGGAAAAAATGTATGTAGAATGTGGATAGGCTTTGCGAGGAAGTAGGTACATAGATAGATATCCAAAATGATGAATTATCGAAATTGTTAGTTATTTATTGATGGATGATATTGATGATATCTCAAGGTTCTGAGAGGTCATTCTGTTTTTGGCATAGTATATCACTTCGGCTCAACTCCGGCCTATATACATATCGCCAACCCATCAATCCATCACACCCCACTAAAAAAAACCAACATCTCAACCCCCAAACCCAATCAAAAAATCTCCAAACCTAACACCTACAAAAAAAATCCAAAAGATAATTTTCCGAATCCGGGAATCGAACCCGGGGCTACTCGGTTCAGTGCTCAACTGTGAAGAACAGAAGAGAGATGAAAGCGAGTTATGTTAACCCCTACACTAATTCGGATGTTAGACTGTGAAGTCTTGTATGTTTGTTGGAGGGGGAGTGGGGTTTGGGGTTATATAGGGTAAGTAAAGGGGTGGTGTGGGTGGAGTACAGGGGATTTTTAGGGTTTAGTTTGAGGGGTGAGCGTGAGGGGTAAGAGGGATGAGGGGTAGGAGGTAGAGTACTGCAGAGTGCTGTAGAGGTTTGTTATTGGAGGGATTTTATTTATGTGTTAGAGTAGAGAGGGCAATTATCCGTTGGTGATATATGTGATACATGTAGGAATATATTTGGTAGAACTAGGTATTAATTTGTTAATGTACGAGTATTGGATTAGGCTGTCTAGGTGTACTTGTAACTTATCTGCTTTTCTGGATGGGATGTTGCAGTTTGTGTAGATAGGTATGTAGGTATGCATATATGTGTGTGAATTGGGTTGGGATGAGTTGATGATTATTTTGTAGAATAGATTCGAAAGTCGAAAGTCCAAAACTGGACTTTTGAAACTTCTGGAGGGTACTCAGAATCATATTTACAAAGACAAGTACTCTCCTAGATATACTTGTCAGTCCAAAAACATTCATACCATCTAATCTCTTGAGACTTGATATCCTTGCAGCCAATAGACCCTAGATTAGAGATATGCTAATATCTCATTGATCCTATTATGCCTATAATGCGTTTCTATTTTCACGAAGAAATTGTGAATATTTATATTAACACAATCATCACCATATCACCAAAAAGTGGAAAAATAAAACAAAAGTGTTTAATTAATCATTAATTCATTAAGTAAACATCTTCACACCCCAACATTATATCTTTTGGATTCTCCCCCTCCATCGATCCATCCATCGCTATACCCTTACAAGTAACTGGCATCAACCCACCATTCGTTCAAGTATGCACTCCCCAATACTGTTTCGATGGCAATGGGTGAAGCGATGGAAGAACTGAAGCTTGCTCGGGGTCCAGCGGCACCGGGTCCTGAGTTGTTGTATCTGGAAGGTGGTTAGTGTATTTCCTGTAGGGAACGGAAAATGGAAGAATGGATGAGGGGTCGTGAATGATTGCTAGGATTGAGGCAGGGGATGAGAATATCTCCAATGGAGATCAGAAAGATGGAGATGAGGAACATACTCTTCAAAAACAACATGATCAGTATTTGGAGTGCTAGTGGACCAAGTACTCCACCCAGCAGCCTTAATATTACTTCCCAAGTAAGTATTTTGGAAAACGACTCTTGCATAGTCTTGCCATGGGCGTCCCAAGTAGTTGTTGTTTATTGCGACGCTGGAATTGATGTTGTCCACATTTGAGTTGTTAATCACATACCAAGATGGGTTAGTGTCGGAGGAACGTCCGGAAGCTGTAATACTTCCGGCGGCAATGGTACGGATATCGTTGTTCTCGAACCAGGCTTGAGCTGTTTGTCCGAAAATGAAATCGATGGCACCGACAACGAGACATTTGGCATAGAGTTGAGCACCGGTGTTGGCCAAGATGGTATCTTGATACCCGATGAATTGAGTGGCATAGTATCCTTGGTTCTTGGTATCTATGAATAGCGGAAGTTAGTAATTGTATCTGAAAGTGAGGTGGATTGAGAAGATGCAATCCCTAGCAAAGGGCACATTTCATGGTGTAGGTTAAAGAATAGTAAATCAATTATCTTACGTGCAGAAATAGCGAGGTTTTGACCATTCGTATTGACGTGCCCGAATGTATTTTGGATGATGAGATTGTAGACCTTGGTGTTGCTGTTCCATTGACGTAAAGTAGCTGTCAAATCATCGGAGGTAGTATCTTGGAGAGCGAGGTTGTAGGTAAGAGTTACTTTGTTACCAGCATAGGTGCTTGCATCTTCGGTGTACCCCTGGATTGTGAGGTTGGATTGGAGGGCTGGGACGTAGACTTGTTCAGTGTAAACGCCGGGGTAGATGAAGAGATATTGATTGGCTGTGGTGGTGGTAGAGAGAGCATTCACTCCTTGCTGAAAGGTTGTGTATGATCCTGGTGTAGCACCAGTCTTGTCGACCACGACCGCACCCGATGGCGCAGAAGTCCTGGCGACTGCTCGTGCCTCTAAGACTGGAGTGGCAGAGACTCCCCCTAGAAGGGTGGCGGCTAAGGAAAGGATCGGGATGAGCAAATACATGATCGTCAAGTATGCAAAGGAAGCAATTGTTGTTTGAAGAGGTTTGGATGTCAAGAGGAATCCTCGATATAGATACTTATATCCTTCAGCCTATGCTATCTGTGATTGGTGCAGAAATTTGATGGAGATGTCACCTGCACTGACGAAAAGGTGGTGGGTGTTTTTCCGTAATGGATTAATGGGTTAGCTGGATAGATGAAAAAAGATAGCTAAAACCAGGCAAGGGCAATCGGGTGCTTCCTTTGATTTGCAACTTGGGCATGGCTAGACTTGAAGTCAAGGGTTAGTTTTTCCGAGCTTGATGATATTGGAGGGTGGAGATGTGTCACCGCGACACCGTTGTGTGAAAGGGCCGCTCATGCTTGTAGCTGCAAGCCTTACTAGAGGATATCGGAGCAATTCCCTATCTTTGGGACGACCCTGATGGATCTCCTGCAATGCACATTGCATGATAATCCGCTAGCAACTTGCAAGGTGGAGCTACGCCTCGCGAATAAGAAGCTGATGTATCGTGCTAACAAGTGTTCCTCTTCTTCTCCTGCAGTACTGAAATATGCACCTTGTGTTGCAATGAGATGACTTGCTTCATCGTTCACTCCGTATGGTAGTGCATCATTTTGTCTCACCGCCGGAGCTTGCAAGAATCGGTTTGCAAAGGTATTCTTTACATTGGTTAGTGGAAGAACAATGGTTTGTAAAACAAAAGTTAAATTATATCAATATGCTCAAAAATGAGGATCCAGATGCCGCAAACTGGTCACAGACAATAAATAGTCTGGGAGATTTGCCGGCTTTGAGCCTCGTGAAGAGAAGCTGAAGAGTTCTGTGTCGGCTCTTTCCGAAGTCTTTCAACCTTCGTCCCACAAGTTCATGACACCATCGTTGAAGATGCGGCCGGTGAAGGATGATAGATAAACGGTTTCAACCCAATAAGGAACACGAACATTCGGAATTTTTATGGGATTTTATTGAATCTGGGCAACTCCCGTTTATAAAACCCACTTACATGGATTCAGCCCGAGTTGTCCATATCCACTATGTTTACGGACGCACGGAGTTCATTGAACATGCAGGTTCAATCGCATCATGCACATTTGATGGATGCTGTTGCTTTGATCGCCTGATTCCATTCACTCACCGCGTTAGTGACATTCGATTCCACATTTCTGTGAAATTCCTCAATATCAAAGAACTGGTGTCTACTGAAAGTCGGTGACTGACTGAACCACATTTAAACAACTCATAACGCCGTCATTTAGAGGTTGTCTTCGGTGAGCCAGATATCCCCATTGTTGTCTAAGTCTATGACCGGTCCGCTATCGTCCTATTAATATTATCTTCGACATCGATGATATTTCATTGTGAGCAGCTCCAATCTCTATGCTCAAGGATGGGAGAGCCTTCACAGCCATCATACTCCTCTGCGAGGTTGGTCCTTGCTTTGTTGGTGTTTTGATCGAGTGCCAGAACCCCACCGAAATTGCTCTGCAGCTTTTTGTGGTTCTTCATGGTCAATTCTTTTCTTATACAAAATCCCATCGTGAGATAAGCAACCATGAGATACCGCCAGGGAATCCATTTTCGGGCTTCAGCTCCGTTTCCAAAAGTCCGTCCAAGTGGATTTACTTCTAGAAAACAGTGCTGTTGGTATCAATTGGTAAGGTTCAAAGTGTAAAGTACTTTAGTCTATTTGATAAAACTTGTTTCTTGATTGTTACTATTCTATATTGAAAGGACGAGCTCCTTAAATACATATTGAAGGAGCTCGTACAGCCCCTTATGATCACATGATCTAATACGATCATATGATTTAACTACGGTTCTCTCTATGATCATATGTGAGGGATCTAACTGTATTGTGGAGGACAGCTGAAATATCTACCCAAGGGATTAACTCAATACGCAACGGCAATCAAGTAAACCCTGCTGAAGCATTTAACATATATAATACTAGTAAACTTAGATTAGCTAGTTAGGGCCTTTCTCCCCTGGCGTCCTTTGTCCCAATTGGGAATTTGAGGCCTGTGCTTCGCACAGAGCCTCGGACGAAAAATATCACACACACACACACTCTATGATGGCCGGCGAAGACGGATCTTTCACCTGTACGCGGTGCTGGCTACAAACTGGTGATGCTTTTGGCATTCATCTGAGCTAACGAAAGAATGCGTGGCAGAACTGGAAGGGCTGGATTGGGTTGAGAATTGGGGTTTTTTATAAGGGCGAAAATTTTTCATTTCACTTTATTAACCAATAGTAACCAAAATAGAGGATTATACTGCGATAATAACAATTAACAACAAAGTCATCATTTGTCCTAATTAGGCATACAATTTGATACTCCGTACGACTATCGATATAAACAATTGACTCCTTTGAAGTACCTTGCAGGATTTTCATATTGGAAGAAAATAATAACCCCAGTTTGGGAACTGGTCTTCTTCGGTGTCCTGAACGATTCGAACCTGAAGTTTATTACAATTTCGATTTGTAGCAGAAACAGGTAATAGGAAACTACGAAAGGATAAAGGGAATAAAGGAACAACGATATTCGAGTGAACCTTAATCTACAAAGGCAGACCCAAAGATATCCCCGGATTACAACTGGCTACAAGGTTTCACATAGAGATGGATTGTTATAAAGGATAAAAGGGAAAACAACTGAAATATTTGATTATACTATAGAGGATACAGGTTAGGGGAAAAAGATCATATAGATTAGGGACGATCTACTATATTGGAAAGGGCAGCTGATATGAAATTTTTCCTCTGTATTTTTTTTTGGATAAACGGTTGTATTAGGAAAATCACGGGACCGAGGGCGGACCAGCTGCAGCTTGACAGATTTGATAATATTATGTAA